GCTGTGCAGAAGCTCTTTAGTTTAATTAGGTCTCATTTTTCAATTTTGGTTTTGTTACAGTTTCTTTTGAGGACTTAGCCATAAATTCTTTATGAAGCTGATATTGAGCAGAATATTTCCTAGGTTTTTTTCTAAGAGTTTTATACTCTGAGGTCTTACATTTAAGTCTTTATTCCATCTTAAGTTGATTTTTGTATATGGTGATACATAGTTCCCCAGTTTAATTCTTCTGCATATGGATAGCCAGTTATCCTAACCCTTTCTTGAATAGGGAGTCTTTTTCTCATTGCTTACCTTATTTTTTGTTGTTGTGGGTCAACTTTTCAAAGCTTAGATGATTGTGGGTGTGGGTCAGCTCTTCGATATGTTACTGGATTTGGTTTGCTAGTATTTTGTGAGGATCTTTGCATGTATGTTCATCAGGGATATTAGCCTGATGGTTTTTTTTTTTTTAATTGTGTCAGAATGATGCTGGCCTCATAGAATGAGTTAAAGAGGAGTCTCTCCTCCTTAATTTTTTGAAATAGTTTGAGTACAATTGATGCAGCTCTTTTTTATATGTCTGGTAGAATTTGGCTGTGAATCCATCTGGTCCTGGGCTTTTTCTCATTGGTAGGCTTTTTATTACTGCTTCAATTTCAGAACTTGTTATTGATCTGTTCAGGGTTTCAGTCTCTTCCTGGTTCCATATTAGGAGGTTGTATGTTTCCAGGAATTTATCCATTTCTTCTAGGTTTTCTAGTTTGTGTGCATAGAGGTGTTTGTAATAGTCTCTAAGGTTTGTTTTATATTTCTGGGGGTCAGTGTGAATGTCCCCTTGTCATTTCTGACTGTGTTTATTTGGATCTTCTCTCCTTTTTCCTCCTCCCTTCCTTCCTTCTTATTTCCTCCTCCCTTCCTTCCTTCTTTTTTCCTCCTCCCTTCCTTCTTTTTCCCTTTCCCTTCCTCCTTCCCTTTTTTTTTTTTTTTTTTGGTGAGGCAGGGTCTTGCTCTGTCACCCAGGCTGGAGAGCAGTGGTATGATTGACCTCCCAGGATCAAGCAATCCTCCCACCTGTTTCCCAAATAGAGTAGCTGGGACTACAGGCACACACCACCACAACCTGCTAACTTTTGTGTTTTTGTAAAAAGAGGGTCTCTCCATGCTGCCCAGGCTGATCTTGAACTCCTGGGCTCAAACAGTCTTCCCACTTTGGCTTCCCAAAGTGCTGGGATTACAATTGTGAGCCATTGCACCCGGGTCTTTTTTTCTTATTAGTTAGTGGTCTAGCAATCTTATTTATTCTTTCAAAGAATCATCTTTTGGTTTCAGTAGTCTTTTACAGTGTTTTTCTTGTCTCAGTTTTACTCAGTTCAACTCTGATTTGGGTTGTTTCTTCTGCCAGCTTTGGGGTTGTTTTGCTCTTGTTTTTCTGGTTCCTCTAGGTGTGATATTAGGTTGTTCATTTAAGATCTTTCTAACTTCTCAGTTCAGGCACTTAGCACTATAAACTTTCCTCAACACTGCTTCAGTTGTGCCCCAGAGATTCTGGTGTTGGATCTTTGTTTTCATTGTTTCAAAGAATTTCTTTATTTCTGCCTTAATTTCATTGATTTACCCAAAAGGTCATCCAGTAGGCTTAATTTTCATTTAATTGCATGGTTTTGAGAGATCTTCTTAGTACTGATTTCTATTTTTTTATGTTGTGTTCTGAGAATGCGGTTGGTATGATTTTCATTTTTTTGAATTTGTTGAGTATTGTTTTATAGCCGATCGTGTGGCTGATTTTGGAGTATGTGCCAGGTGGAGATGGGAAGAATGTATATTCTGTTATTATTGGGTGGGATGTTCTGCAGATGTCTCTTAGATTCATTTGGTCAGGTGTCACATTCAGCTTCTAAACATCTTTGCTACTTTTGTTCCTCGGTGATCTGTCTGATACTGTTAGTGGCATGTTGAAGTCTCCCACTGTTATTGTGTGGTTATCTAAATCTCTTCATAAGTTTCTACAGCTTGTGCTCTGTATCTGGTGCTCCAGTGTTGGGTGCGTATATATTAGAATAATTAAGTCTTCCTATGGAATAGAACCCTTTATCATCATGTAATGCCTTTACTTGTCGTTTTTTGTTCATTGTTGCTTTAAAGTCTCTTGTCTGAAATGAGAATAGCAACCCCTGCTCTTTTTCTGTTTGTTTGTTTGCTTGGTAAATTTTTCTCCATTCGTTTTTGTTAAGCCTATGGGTGTCATTGTATGTGAGAGAGACCTCTTGGAAGACAGCATACCACTGGATCTTGCTTCTTTATCCCGCTTCCCACTCTGTGCCTTTTAAGTGTACATTTAGCCTATTTATGTTCAAGGTTAATGTTGTTATGTGCAGATCTGATCCTGTCATCACGTTGTTGGTTGGTTGGTGTGCACACTTCATTGTACTTCCTTAATGGTGTCAGTGGTCTGTGTACTTAAGTGTGTTCTTTTGGTGGCCAGTAATAGTCTTTGGTTTCCATGTTTAGCTTAAGGACCTCTTGTAAGACATGTCTGGTGGTAATGAATTTCCTTAGCATTCATTGTCTGAAAATGATTGTATTTCTCCTTTGCTTATGAAGTTTAGTTTGTTTGGATATGAAATCTTGGGTTAGAATTTCATAGTCAGTAAGAATGCTGACTATGAGCCCCCAGTCTCTTCTGGTTTGTGTGGTTTCTGTAGGAAAGTCCATTGTTTGCCCAATGGGGTCTTCTTTGTAGGTGACCTGCCCCTTCTCCCTAGCTGCCTTTAATTTTGTTTTCATGTTGACCTTTGAGAATCTGATTACTGTGTGTCTTGGTAATCATCGTCTTTTATAAAATCTCACAAGGGTTCTCTGCATTTCCTAGGTTTAAATGTCAGCCTCTCAAGATCAAGAACCTAGCAAGGTTAGAGAAATTTTTGTGGACAGTATCCTCAGATATGTTTTCCAGTTTGCTTGTTCTTTCTCCCTCTCTTTCAGGGATGCCAAAGGTTTGATAATCTCATATTTCCTGGTGGTTTTTGTTTGTTTGTTTGTTTGTTTGTTTTTTGAGTTTTGCTCGTCACCCAGGCTGGATGCAGTAGTGTGATCTCAGCTCACTGCAACCTCTGCCTCCTGGATTCAAGTGATTCTCCTACCTCAGCCTCCTGAGTAGCTGGGATTACAGGTACCTGCCACCACGCCTGGCTGATTTTTTTGTATTTTTAGTAGAGACGAGGTTTCACCATGTTGGCCAGGCTGGTCTTGAACTCCTGACCTCAGGTGATCTGCCCACCTCGGCCTCCCAAAGTGCTGGGATTACCAGCATGAGCCACCGTGCCTGGCCTTGGTTTTGTTCATTTTTTATTCTTTTTTATTTGTTTCTGTCTTTATTTTTGATTTGAAGAACTGGTCTTCAAGCACTGAGATTCTTTCTTCAGCTTGATCTATTCTGCTGTTAATTCTTCCGATTGTATATATGATTCTTGTAGTGAGTCTTTCAGCTCTAACAGGTCTGTTTGGTTCTTTCTTAAAGTGGCTGTTTAATCTTTCAGCTCTTGGACTGTTTTATTAGATTCCTAAAATTCCTTAGATGTGGATTCAGCTTTCTCCAGAATCTCAAACAGTTTGATTCCTATCCAAATTCTGAATTCTGTGTCTGTCGTTTCAGCCATTTCAGCATGGTTAAGATCCACGGTTGAGGACCTAGTGGGGTGGTTTGCTGTTCAGAAGACACTCTGGCTCTCTGCGTTTCCAGGTTCTTTCTCATCTGTGTGGGCCGTGGTGGGCCTTTAATCTCTGAAGTCGCTGTCCTCTGGATGGCATTTTTTGCTTTGGTATTCTTCGATGCCTTTGAAGGTTTGACTGTGGTATAATGGTCAGTCAACTATCTTCATTTCTGGAAAACTTCAGGGGCCCAAGGCTCAGCTCAGCACTACTGGGCTGCTTGCTCTAACCCTGAGTGGCTGAGACCAGGCCTACGGCTTTGTGCTCTGGCCCCTCAAGCTTTTGTATCTGCTGTATTGGAGGAGCTAAAACGTTACCAGCTGGTAACAACACTTCACAAAGCACTTTGTTGAGGCAGTGCCTGTGGCGTCCATCCTTGTGTGTGTGCCAGCAGCAATGGCAGCATGACAGGTGCCAGCATGGACAGCAGAGCTGTGAGGTGTGGTGCATACCAGCAGGGGTGGCATGCTAGCAATTCATGGGGGCAGGGCAGCAATGGGTTCATTTTTTATAATAAAGATTTTTCCTAAGGCTTAGGAAGAACAGAGAATTTAGAGTCAGGTAATTGACTGGCTGTGTGATCTTTGAAAAATGACTTAACATCAGTGAGCCTCCATTTCATATCTCCAGTGAGGATAATACCTATTGTATACGTTTTTATGAGATTGAAATGCAAAAATGTAAATGTGAAGCTTTTAGTAGTGATTACCATAATGTAAATAAGTGATAGATCTTTTTTACTTCTTGACATGGTTGATCATGTTCACTGATACAGTTTTAACTTCTGTTTCCTGGTCTGTGATGACTTAGGAAATATAAGATAATGCTTGACGTAAAAAAACTTGGGATAACCTTTACTTATTTTTCTTGCTTGACATAGATAAAGAAAATTGGGTGGGGAACAGCTAGCAGGGGTGCTTATTTCTTTATGCAGCAATAGGGTGATTTTAAACTTTATCAGTGATAAATTTTTAATAGCTTAGATAAAAATCTAGCAGGAAGCTCTTTCTCAGCTTCTTTGAACCTGCCGTCTCCTGAGACATGTAAGATTTCAGTTCCAAGGCCTAGACTGACTTAACTGTGGCCTCCTTATGTTTCCCAAGGCTTCGTGGTAGAAGATGAAGTTGTTCTTGCTGTGGTATCTGCTTTTCCCCCCAAATATTTCCATTTTTATTTTTCTAATTTTTACCAACAAATGTGAGAAGTACATTTCATCCTGTAAAACATTATGCTGATGTTAGTTATTACTTTGTTTTTCATCATTTCCTTTGACCACTCGTGTTTTTCTTTGATTTTCTCTGACATCATAGGCACTTTGGTTTCCATTATTGGAGGCAATGATGGCCCCTCAGAAGCTGCCCAGTTCAGCTGTCCCTCATCTACACTCTGAAGGTGAGTTCTTCAGAATTCAAGTGACTGAGTCCACCTAGATCATCAGTATTTGTCTGCAGAAGCAATCAGTGTAATATCCTTTTCCAATAGCATACTCTTACGATTTTCCTTAATTAAACCATGTAGGTGATCTCATCTTTCATGTTTCTTTCCGTTGTTCCACTTATATAATTTATTTTAAATAATTGTACCTTTTGGAACTTGCCAGTAAAGTTTAAAATATCAAATAGGCCTTGGTTAGCTGAGTTTCTAAGAAGCTATATAAATCCACTGTTTTCCACAGACTTACAGGAAAATCTGAAAACTCTTATTTTAAACTAACCTTAATATTAATGTTTTGTTAAAACAGCTCTGAAATCTTTAACCATGCAAGTTTTAAACAGCATGGCAGCCTTCATTGCCTTGCCATCAATCTTGCAAAGAATCTTACAGGTGAGTTTGAAGGGGTGAATATTAAATATTGGTTGATTTCAACTAACAATTATATAACAGCCAATTGGGCTACTGTTTAAATGGATCTCAAGCATAATGCAGCTAATTTTGGCAATAGCTAAATATCTAACTTCTGACCCTCATTCTTGAGTATTTTCTGTAAGTTTATTGATACGACTTTGCCTAACATAAGCTTGTGACTTTCACTTAGGGTATGCAATCTTCAGATAGTCCCTGTTGCCTTGGGATTCAAATACACAAGTTTCCTATTGGTTTGCTAACTGGGAGGGAGTTATTTCTCTACAGCTGAAAAAGATATTCTAAAAATTGATACAGGAATTTCCCAAGCATTGGTTGTTATTTAGGCTTTCTAACTCATCCTAAAATTATTTTTGTCTTGAATACTCATCCTTGACTAAATTCTAGCTGGCTTTGTGTCCAAAGCTTTTGTAGGAAGCGTCATTTCAGCTTGTTTCTTTCAGCAAAAAGGCCTGAACCTTCCACTTCATCAAAAGAGAACACTCAAAATACTCTAAGATATATTTTTAGAAAAAAACCTCAGAGCATTCTTGGGGAAACAACAGGAATTATACTTAGAATCCATTTTGCTTTTCCTCAATGTATAGGCACACATGTACATTCAAACACATACACACACACACAGCAAACTAATATGATGCCGTTAGTCCTTAGAATTTTCGAATGATTTTTATTCAATCAAGAATGTTCCTATCAGCTCTCTTTTAAGACTCCCCAGGCTCTACGTCCCATCTGATATTAAGCTTCTGGGGCTTTTCTGATAAAGAGGACTACATCCTGTAGTCTTTGTCATTACACGGTATACCATCATTTAGAATACATTTTTACATGTGTTATTTCATTTGATCTTAGTAATTATTATGTGTTGAATAATTCTTTGATATCGACTGCTTCTCATATCCATTTTAAAGCAGCATATTACTTATGAGGTTTCTAATCATAGATAAAGTAATATCTCCATAAGGGCAGGAATACTTTTCCAAATAAGTTAGACGAAATGAAATCCTAAAGCCAAATGGATTCTCGCTGTGTTATAGTTTGCCTCTCATTGAGCTTTAACCACACATTATATGTAAATTATAACATAAACATGTTTTTCTCTTGGCAAAAACTTGATTTTTGAAACTTTTTATATTTCAAGACTTTGGAATCTAGTCATCTCTTGATATTTGAAAATCCTCTCTTTGTTTTGAGTTATACTGGCATTCATTATAATATTTCCTTACCATTTTCTACTTTCAATGGTTGTTTACTCCCACTAATCAAAGAGATATAGTCTTTCTGAAACTTCTCATTTGCATGTTTGTGATTACTGTAATTAAGCTACCGTATATTTGTACATAGATTTTTATTTTCAAGGTGCTTTCACAGATACCATTTCATTTGAACCCCACAGCAATCTCTTGAGGTAGGTAAGGCTACTATAGGCATTTCTGCTGAAGAAAGAGGAAACTGGTACAGAGAAGTTGAGTTCTTAGCCTATCATTAGCGGCAGAACCTGGACCACTCCCTAAGTCTCTCACTTCCTGATTCATGTTGTTTATTATTTCATGTGAGCTTTTTTTACTTATGTCCCTGGTCTTTTGAGGAGTTAATTATTAATTAAATATATTAATTATATGTTATGCTATTTAGATGAAAGGCATAGTTCTTAACCCAGAAGAGCTCTTATTTAAGAGACAAAAAATGTTGTGATTCAACTATTCATAAGGCTCTAGACAAGTAATAGTGGCCACCTTTAGGATGATCTGCTCTGCATCCACATAGGGTGATTGCCATGCCTACATTTCTACACTTAATCTGCATAAGAGCAGGAGCAGCCATGAGAAGGCGTGACCCTGCCTCCTGATTCCAGCCGATTGACTCAGGGTGAGCAGATGACCTAAACAAGACCGATCAATGTGCTTTCCAGGAAATGTGAGAATTGTACTTGGAAAAGACAAGTCTCTCTTTAGGTCTCTGTATTACATCAAGTACAAATTTCAGGAGCTGACAGTTCCTGCTTTTCCATTACATGGACTGGAATAGTGGAAAAGCATAATCTGTAGAGAGAAGGATATAAATGTAGCAGACACACAAAGAGACACACAAACAAATACAGTGCATAAAGAAGATTCAATAAACCGGGAGAGGAACCAATGTGGAGAGAAAAAACTGATGGCATCTGAGTCCCCCATTGCGACTCTGTAGACTTACCTGCTCCTCTTCCTGGACCTGTGAAATACCGTCGCATTTTTATAATTAACTTTTTTGAGTAAGTTAGATTGAGTTGTATTTATGACTATATATGGTCAAGGAGTACCAATAAAGTGTAAACCTGAAACAGACTAGGGAACTCAGAAAGATTTCCTGGAAGAGGAGATGCCTGAGCTGATTCTTAAATGAGTCTAAAGAAATCATGGAAAGAAAGGAGGCAGGGTTGTTCTATATACAGAAAGACTGAGGTGAAAGCGTGGTACATTTGGGGAGTTACAAGTGTTTTAAGTGCTCAGAACATAGGATAAGAATAAAGAAAAATCACAGAGCTGAAGGTTGAGAGATAGGCAGGGACTGTGTCTTTAATTGCTTTGTAATTCATGATAAGGAGTTTGGATTTTATTCTAAAATCAATTGTCATCAAGATTTTAAACAGAGGAATGATAGAGTGAGGTTTTTCTTTAGAAAGATCACTTATCCTGCTTATACAGGATAGACTGGAAGGGATTAAAACAGAAAGTATAGAGTACATAGAACATAATAGGGTTATGTATTGTTATATATAGATAAGGTTATATATTGTTACATATATAATTAATTGGATTATATAGAGGAGAAGATGGATTATATAGAGGAGAAGATGGATTTTTAAATTATTTAGGTGATAGAATCCACCAGACTTTTACTATTTATTTATATATAGGAGGACACAAAAAGAACCTAGCAACCAACCAATGAGGCCTTGTCTCTCCCCCCGCTTCCCCCGCAACACACAATTAGTTGGGCATGGTGGCATGTGCCTCTAGTCCTCAGGAGGCTGAGGTGGGAGATCACTTGAGCCCAAAAGGGTGAGGCTGCAATGAGCCGTGACCATACCACTGCACTCCAGCCTGCGCGGTAGAGTGAGACACTGTCTCAAAAAAAAGAACCTAATATCAAGTTCATATGGCTCACATGAGCAGTGGGTGAAGCCAAGACTGGAGTTTATAGGAAGAGGTAAGAAGTGGAGATGTAGAATTGGAAGTCATCAACGTAGAAATGGTAGTGAAATTCTTAAAACTAGATGAACTTGATGAGTAAATGAATGAGCAAGGAAAGCAACGACAACGCTGGCGTTTTAGGAGGCATCTCAGAGTCAGGTCTATTTACCTTATTTTTGTTTCCCATTAGAATCTAAGGACCTTGAGAGATAAGACTCTGCCTAGTGCTCTGTTGCCATCAACTAGCCCAGAGGCACCTGACATATAATAGGTACTCAGTAAATATTTCTAGAGTGAATTAAAATCAAGGATTGAGGAATCTGACTTCTGGCCAAGGTGGAGTAGCAGAGACTGTATTTGCCCTCCTGCCTGAAACAACCCAAAACTGGACAAAATACATGAAATAGTAATTGTCGAATAGTGACTGTCATGCAGTAATGGACAGTGATTCCTGAGAGACAGGAAGTAAAATGTGCCCTGTGCTTGCAGCAGCTTAATGTCTTGGCAGAGTTTCTAGGCAATCGTTCAGGAAAGGGGATCACGAGCAGTTTTTGACATACTCGTTGATTTGAGGAGATGGAACTAAGAGTCAGGAGGCACTAACATGGCAAGAGCGTGCCGGGAAAGTACTGGGAAGGAGCTACAAAAAGAGCTCTACAGATGTGAGGAAGGTCCCCTCAGATATCAGCACGTGTGTACGAGGAAGCTACCCAGGCCAGGAAAGAGTCACCTGGAAAGATATGAGGGAACAGTATTCACACTCACTGAAGGCCAAGATTGTGTGCCCTTGCTTCCTACAAGACTAGACAACCTTGTGGTTTACAGGACATTGGGTAGAGTTTGCAGAATAGTCAGTGGTGGGAAACAGCCTCAAATGGCTTCAGTTGTGTCTTACTGAGCTTGAAAACAAGACCTGAAAGTATTAAGCTGTCTCCATGTAACCTAAAAGCATCCCAGGTCAAAGCTTAAAGATACCTTTAGGCATACAAAATTACCTGGGACTCAGCAGTAAAATGTGTCGTGTCTAATATTCAGTCGAAATATATCCCGTAGGCAGAGAAGTTGGAAAATGAAACCAAGATATGACATGGATATAAGAATTAGCAGACAAAGAAATCCAAACAGAAGAAAAGATCAGTGAGCTTGAAGAGATAACAATATGGATTATCCAAAATGAAACATGTAAAGAAAAATGAATCGGAAAAAAATTACCAGAGTATCAGCAAGCTGTGGCACAACTTCAGGCAGCCCAATATTTGCATACTTGAACCTGAAAAGGGAGACAGAACAGAAAAGAAATGTTGAAGGAATAATGACTGAAACTAGACAACTCAATGAAACCCAAACTCAAGAAACATGAAGAGGCCATGTGCGGTGCTCACACCTGCAGTCCAAGCACTTTAGGAGGCCAAAGTGAGAGAATCTGAGGCCAGAATTGCTATATTGCCAACTTAGGCAATATAGCAAGACCCCATCTCTACGCAAAATAAAAAATAATAATTAGCTGAGTGTGGAGGTGTGTACCTATAGTTCTAGCTACTCAGGAGGCTGAGGTTGGGGGGGATTGCTTGACCCCAGGAGTTCGAGGTTACAGTGAGCTGTGATCATGCCACTGCAGTCTAGCCTGAGTAACAGAGCAAGGCCGTGTCTATATTTTTTTAAAAATGAATAAAATGACAACAAAGCTTATCGTAAGTACTCAAAACTAGTGATAAACAGAGAAGCTTAAAAGCAGGTGAGGGCATCGGGAGTAGAGGAAGAAAATACGGATGACAGCAGATTTTT